CGGGGTCGTGTCGTGGGAGATGCACGAAGAGGAGGAGATAAGGCTCGTATATGCGGATGAGTATAGTCCACGGCAGATTTGCATAATTAYATGATTTTGAGTGCATACAAATATATTATTTAGTAAGACCCGCGACCACGACGGTCTGTAGTATATAGATATAGTAGTCATGCAAGATTGCTTCGAGGCGGGCGGTGACTGTGATATTATATTATTATTTATTATTATTATTATTATTATTATTATGATTGCAGTATAATGGCATAGGTATAGTTCCGCGGCATATAGTGCGACGTTATCGCGAGGGCCGAAAACCTTCCACGGGAGAGCCGACCAACCGCGTTCGGTTTCCGTACACGCCTAGCTTATTATACTCCCGAGCAGGGTCGGTCGGCTGGTCGGTCCTCTCCGGGGAAGTGATATAAATCATCGGCGACCACGGAAAACTTTTCGTCGAGGGCTCCTGCTGCTGCTGCTGCTGCTGCTGCAAGGCTAATTTGCTGCTATATATACACGCCGTCGGTGGTGGTCGTTTGGACGAGTGTAGTAATAATTTCGGCAAAAAAAATGAACATTCCGCGTTTGGAAAATACTGTCATTTGACGTTTATACTGTTTTGGTGATTGAAATAATATTTTTACCCAATCGTGAGTAATACCAAGAACAAGAAACACAATGTATTTATTAAGTATAATATTATTATGGCAATATTTTATTTTTAAATTACAGTCTGTTATCAATTATGTAAATTGTATAAATGATTTGATTTAACCGTATACATTACTATAGTTACTACTAAGTCATTTAATTGTTAATTATGTATAATAATATATTATACCTATAAACGTGTTTTATTTTGCTATTTTATTTGTTAAAACGGTAATGTACAAAATATACCCTATAYTCCTATTCATACGTCTTATTTGCCCAGACAGACCTCAATTTGGATCGATTATTCTAAACTGTTGGTTCGCTAACCACGTCGGGCAACCGGTCAAAAAAAAATAATCATATAGAGTGCACGTCATGAAATCTTTTCGCGTGATTTTACGACTACGATTTTATCGATGTTAAAATAATATYATTTAATTTGCTTATTTATTTATTGTCGTGACTGGTTTTGAACATTATTATGACC